AGCTTCACAAGTATGTCGGTAGTGTACGCAAATGCGCTTTGTGACACAAGTCACGGTACGCATTTCAGATTGTTGCAGCGCATGCGTACCTGCGTACCAGTTATGTGCACCCCTGGTTATATTGTTACTGTAGATAATTTCAAGAGGTAGTTCAAATCAACCTACATTTTGCTTCTTATTTACATTTTAGAAAGAGTTGTATAGTCTTGTATCTATATTGATATAAGTGCAGATATAGCAATGCAGCAATTACTATGGTATGACTTGCTTGGTGTGAATATATCTGCACTCTCCTTGTTGTTTGGAGTTTGAATCTCGATGGTTTTTGCCTTTATTGTAAGTCGCTTTGGATAAAAGCTTAAGCTAAATTCAATGCAATAATGATATTATACCAACCATTCTGCTACCCCTCTTAAAATCACTGTGATCAAAGGCATGGCTGAATGAAGATATATGATTTATATTATTGTAAGTACAATCGATAAATCTTCTCTGTGGTTGAGAGACCATAATATCAGACATAGTTGGAGAAGCACCATTAATTAAAATAAATGACCAAATGGGATTTTAATTGTCTTCAATTACAGAAAAAGTCTTTATGATTTGCCGCTGGATATCTTAAAATTACATTTACAGAGGAACGAGGTAGTAAACTTTTAACAGCCTTTATCACAAATACAGGTAATGCTTTTAACAAATTAAAAGTCTCTTTATATTAACGCCCCCTCACTTTAGATATTACGTTTTGTCGGAGCCTCCTCTCAAAAACTTTTAATCCAATTGAAAAGTTTTTGCAAAGTTTCTTTTTAGCATCCAGCCAGCTATCTGTTTACTTTCAAGGTTATTGTCCTCAGAGAGAGAGAGAGGGAGTAAAAAGAGAAACCATGTTGTGACACTGACGACACTCCATCTCTGTTAATGAAATCGCTCAGTCCTGTCCAAGAGGCTGGAGGGAGACCATGAGCATCACTTTCCCTCTAAATACCACTCTTTCTTCACCGATACCTCGGCCATCTCCCATCCCTTGCTTTTCTTTTCATCTCAGGTCCAATCTGTTGTTATTTTACTGAGACTGTGCCGGAGACGAAGCCTGACAGACATTTTTGAAGGCTGCAGTTCGAAATGTTAATGTAATGGATTTAATCATACAACATGGTGCCTATTTTTACATTTCCCCTTGCTTTATTTTGCTTTTTTCCCCGTATTCTACTTTTGTATATCCCTACATATTTCTTAATAAAGTTAACATGTTTCGTACGAATACAAAAATTATGAATCTATAGTTGTAGATGCCAGGTCAGTCACCATTTTAACTTTGCATTCTTTAAATCATGAACTTATATACAGTGGTTGTACATTCTCTCCACAATTACAGACAAACAATAAATATTTTGGCTGCCTCAAACAAACGATATATATTTTGGCTGCCTCAAATGTTAGATGTAAAGTTGTCAAACTGCCCTTCTTGTTTTATTTGTGAATTGTTAACTTTTAGTGATTATTAAGAAGAACGTCAAACATTAGTCAAAGATGTATACAGCATATTACAGTAAATACACATTCATCATCATTATTTTTGGAGTAAACCCTGAACAATATATGGGACTCCATGTGTTGAATGTATATTGAGATGATCAGATTGATATAATTAAATGTAGAGTATATTTTAGCGTAGGTGTAAAGACTTAGTGTTAATGACACCTTGTTCCTTTCCTCTCTCTCACCTCCTGACTTCCTAAACTCACTCTCACAACTTTTCTTACTCCCGTCACCCCACCCCACCCCTCCTCTTCCTCCCTCCCCTCCTCCTGTTGGATGTGTTCACTAATGGCATGCGGGCGACATCGTCCTTGGGAAACAAGCCTTTTATTCCTTTATTCCAGTAAGCCCTTTTCATTTCATTAGGCCTGCATTTATGGTGGCACACACACACACTCTTATAGAGGGAGATAGCACCATAAAAGCTTCAGTCAGTTTCAAGGGGGAAGCCTAATGTCTGTGACACCACCTTTATTTATGCAGACAGGGAGGCTGGGGAAGACTATCAATGTCACACACACACACACACACACACACACACACACACACACACACACACACACACACACACACACACACACACACACACACACACACACACACACACACTCTTTCTCTCTCTCTCTCTCTCACAACTTCTACCTCTAGACGACATTCATTGTCTGGGTTCAAGTGAATCTAAGAGTCACGACCGGGCGGTAGAAAATGGAAGTAAAGTTAGTCGCTGATTACCTGACAGGGATGATTGATACGCCCATTACGGGTTCCAGGCGGGGTGTGTGTGTGTTTTCCATTAACTCGACGATAACACACGACACACACACCACGACACACGGACAACCGACACACACACACACACACACACACACACACACACTCTCTCTCTCTCNGACGGAATATATGCGGTTAACGCGACCTCTGGGTGCACATAACTTTCTCAGTGAGGTACTCAGATGAGTACCTGGAGTCAGTGTTTGGTACTCCAACTTCTGGCTCCACTCAAAGTTATTTGATGAAGGGGGGGGGAGCGGTGGTGCTAGTGGAGTACTTCAGGAAAGTCGACGGGGGGGCTAGTGGAGTACTTCGTGACCACAGAGTGTGAACGTTGTGATCAGCTGTTTTAGTGCAGTTCTCCAGTGAAGGGGGCATAGGGAGGGGGGGAGTCTCCCTCCGCAGCCGGTTGGCGTAGTTTTGGCACAATTCCGTTGTACAGACCGACGTTAACAGCAGCCCCGTCTGTGCACACGGAGACCGACTTTGTTGCCCGGTGATCTAACCGCCTTCAGGAAGAGCTTCACAAGTATGTCGGTAGTGTACGCAAATGCGCTTTGTGACACAAGTCACGGTACGCATTTCAGATTGTTGCCGCGCATGCGTACCTGCGTACCACTTATGTGCACCCCTGATTATAGTTATACAAACAATAAGAGAATAAATGAAAAACAGGTATGAAATAGCCTACTATATGGCAGTAAAACAAGAATACAGTTTAA